GTGGACAGGGCATTGCAGGCTGTGGGCAGCCCAGTGGCTCAGGCGGGCACCTCTCAGGGCAGGTGGATTTAGAGCCATGATGCTTGTGTGTGGAGCAGCTGGGAAGGGGGAGGCTCAAAGCCAGGACACTGGGCCAGCAGGGAAGACCAACATCCCGGGGAGGGACAGGGGACGTGTCCACACTCGCTCTGTCTGCCTTGGGCCCCGGGACCCCCTGGCCGTGCCAGGAACGCCCTGCCCCAGCCAGCTTCGTGGGACTCCCCGTGCTCTGGGGGGTGGCTGGTGCCCTTGGGCTGGGCACAGTCCTGTTCTGCCCAAAGGTGCATGTCCCCTGGTCTCTGTCCCCCTTTCCCCAGATCTACCCGGACCCCGAGCTGGAGGCGCAGGTGCTGAGCCTCACCATCCGCTGCATCCACAGCGAAGAGGGCTGCCGCTGGAGCGGGCCCATCAAGCACCTGCAGGTGAGGGGGAGGGGGCGCGAGGGTGGGTTTGGCGCTGGGCTGTGATCTCACACTCACTCTCTGTCCTGTCTCGCCAGCCCCATCTCAGCACGTGCGGCTTCAACGTGATCCCGTGTCCCAACCGCTGCAGCATCAAGCTGAGCCGGCGCGACCTGCCTGACCACCTGCAGCACGACTGCCCCAAGCGCCGCGTCAAGTGTGAGTTCTGCGCCAGCGACTTCACCGGCGAGGCCTACGAGGTGTGGGGAGCCGGGAACCCCCGCGGGGGCAGGGGCAGCGCCAGGATGGTCCCACGGGGTCCCCTGGTGCGGGGAGCTGGGGTCCCTCGTGGGGGGCAGGGGCGGTGTGGGGGCGGCCCCATGGGGTCCCCTGGTGTGGGGAGCTGGGGTCCCTCGTGGGGGGCTGGGGTGATGCGGGGACGGCCTCGTGGGGGCAGAGGCGGTGCGGGGGCGGCCTCACGGGGTCCCCCTGGTGCGGGGAGCTGGGATCCCTGGCACGGGGCAGGGGCAGAGCTGGGACGGCCCCCCAGGGCCCCCTGGTGCAGTGCGGGGACGGCCCCCCGGGGGGCTGGGGCAATACAGGGGCGGCCCCGCGGGTGATGGCCCCCGGCACCAGCTCTTCATGCTCTTGTCCCCCCAGAATCACCAGGGCGTGTGCCCCCAGGAGAGCGTGTACTGCGAGAACAAGTGTGGGGCCCGCATGATGCGTCGGCTGCTGTCCCAGCACACGCTGGCCGACTGCCCCAAGCGCACCCAGCCCTGCCCCTACTGCACCAAGCAGTTTGTCTTTGACACCATCCAGGTGAGGCAGGGCCCTGCGGGGGGTGGGGGTGCTGCTCCCTGGGGCCTGGCGGGGGTGGGCCCAGGTCGGGTCCCAGGCGGCTGCTGCGCTGAATGGGTCTGGGTGAAGGGCCCAGCCCGTCCCTGGGGGAGCGTTACTCCAGCTAACAGCGCCTCCCCTCTGCCCCCAGAATCACCAGTACCAGTGTCCCCGCTACCCCGTGTCCTGCCCCAACCAGTGCGGGACACCCAGCATCGCCAGAGAAGACCTGTCCGGGCACCTGAAGGAGAACTGCAGCACAGCCATGGTGCTGTGCCCGTTCAAAGACGCTGGCTGCAAACATCGGGTGAGTGCTTCCTCCCGCCCTCTGCCCCTGTCCAGCTGGGCCTGGCCAGAGCCAGCGCTGCCCCCCCGAGCGCACAAGCTACTGCTGGAGCTCCCTCCCCCCGGGTCTCACTGTCCCCCCGGCACCGCCCCTTCCCTGTCCTCTGTGCTGCACCCCAGTGATTGCTTGCTCCTTCCTCCGTGCAGTGCCCCAAGCTGGCCATGAGCCGGCACCTGGACGACAGCCCCAAGGTGCATCTGGGCATGGTGTGCTCGCTGGTGAGCCGGCAGCGGCAGGAGATCCAGGAGCTGCGGCAGGATGTGGAGGAGCTGTCGGTCAGCAGCGCCGGGATCCTGATCTGGAAGATCGCAGACTACGCCCGCAAGCTGCAGGACTCCAAAGTGCGTAGCAACTACGAGTTCTTCAGCCCGCCCTTCTACACCCACCGGTACGGCTACAAGCTGCAGGTGTCCGTGTTCCTCAACGGGAACGGCAGCGGGGAAGGCAGCCACCTGTCCGTCTACATCCGCGTGCTGCCGGGCCAGTACGACAACCTCCTGGAGTGGCCCTTCTCCTACCGCGTCACCTTCTCCCTGCTGGACCAGAGCGACCCCTCGCTGTCCAAGCCCCAGCACATCACCGAGACCTTCAACCCCGACCCCAACTGGAAGAATTTCCAGAAGCCGGGGGCCTCCCGCAGCGCCCTGGACGAGAGCACCCTGGGCTTCGGGTACCCCAAGTTCATCTCGCACGAGGACATCAAGAAGCGCAACTACGTGCGGGACAACACCGTCTTCATCAAGGCCTCGGTGGAGATCCCACCGCGAATCCTGGCCTGAGCCTGGGGCTCGGCGTGGCATGGAGACGTTACCCGGGGCCCGGCGCTCAGCCCGGCTGTCACTGCAGTCGACAGCAGCCTGAGGGCACCGTGGGCTTGTGTCTGACTGGGCCCTCTTGGTGTTTCCGCCCCAGCGGCCTGGCAGCTCCCTCCTGAGCAGGGACTGTCCCGAGCGAGCAGGTTTCCTGCAGCTGGCTGGGACTGTACTGGAGCCAGTGCAGCCCTGGGCCCCGCCAGCTGAGACTCGGTGCCGTGGCTAGAGCTGGCCGTGGGGTGCAGGGAGAGGCCCTGCAGACAGTGGGTGGGAAGGAGAGTGGGCCCGGCCCTCGCAGACCCGTTCCCAGGGGCTGGCTCTCAGGACAGCCACGGGGCCCGTGCAGGCTGATCGCTGCTGCCCCCAGCCCGCGCCCCACCAGAGTGAAACACAGCCTCTGTGGGGCAGCGTTGCAGCTGGGCCCAGGGGAACCCCAGCTCCCCTCCACCACCCACAAGCCCTGGAGTGGGGCCCACCGAGGGGGGGACATGCTGTCCAGATAGTGGCAGTGGCATCACCCCCTGGGATCTGGGGCTTCTAAGCTGCCACCCCAGAAAGTGGATCCACCTGATCTCCACTGTGACCCAAGCTCTCCTCCAATCAGCTGGCCTGACGACGTTCCCCTCCCCTCCTGAGGAGCAAACAGTGCCTGGGGCTCCCTGCAGGCTGCCCCCCTCGGGGCGGGACTCGCCCCTGTGCCCTGCAGCCCCCCCAGAGCCCCCGAGGGGCCTGGACAACACAGGAGCCATGTAGCGGGACAGGGACCCTCTCCCCTCCCCTCCCATGAGGCCTTTGCAATGAAGCCCTAAGCAGGGAGCCCCAGTGAGGGGTCCCCTTGTAGCTACCAGCCCCTCGGTGCTCTGGCAAGCCCCCCAGGGAGGCACAGAACAGCCAGAGCCTGATGCCCCAGTAGCGAGGAACCGGCAGGGCCCCCAGCCTCCGTCTCCCTCCTGCTGCCTCAGGGACCCCGGAGGGCCGAGGGCCCCTCCCCACAGAGCCATGTTTTGTGAGCACCGGCCCCGCCTCTCCCTTGCGGGCTGGGCTGGGTGCATGTGTCTTGTCGCCGGGGAGTCTTCCATGTCGCTCACTCCCAGGGGAGGGCGTCTGTTATTTATTGTCCTGGCTGCGGCGCTGCCCCGGCCCTGCTGCCTTCACACTTTTTCAATAAACTCTTCTTGTATTTATCAGGCTTGATCCTGCTGCCTTTCCTTCCTCGCTCCTCAGGGGTGGAGCAGACTCTTAGGAATGACCAGCCAGACCCGCTGGGCAGCCTCGGGGGGCGGGGAGAGGCTGGCAGTGGGGCAGTTTTTCTAGATCCCGTAATGTTGAAATGCTATTGGGCATCCACTCCGAAAAGCCATTCCATCCCCCAAAAGGCCATCGCTTGCAGAACAGTCTAATTGTGACCCAAACTGCCAGCAAGCTTCTAAATACTGTTGCTAATAGAACGGTGTGCTCCAAATAACTGTCAGGACAGTTGGGAAAATATTTAGCCTCACAAGACTTTATGCATGTTTCCTGTACTACTTTGCCTTCATTTCATGCCAAAGCCTGTAGTTACATGGTAGAATGAGCTAGTTGGTATCATGCAGTAGTCATTAGTTGTAGAACTGATAGATTTAATAAGTTATTTAGCTGCTATTTTATGTTGGCTACTGTCCACTGATTCCTGCATTGGCAATGGGTGTTAATACAAGACTGCAGCTGTCTATAGTGCCTCCTGTAACAGCTGCATGACAGCTACAACTCCCTGGGCTACTTCCCCGTGGCCTCCTCCAAACACCTTCCTTATTCTCACCACAGGACCTTCCTCCTGGTGTCTGATAACGCTTGTGCTCCTCAGTCCTCCAGCAGCACACCCTCTCACTCTCAGCTCCTTGCGCCTCTTGCTCCCAGCTCCTCACACTCGCACCACAAACTGAAGTGAGCTCCTTTTAAAACCCAGGTGCCCTGATTAGCCTGCCTTAATTGAGTCTAGCAGCTTCTTCTTAATTGGCTCCAGGTGTCCTAATTAACCTGCCTGCCTTAACTGGTTCTAGCAGGTTCCTGATTACTCTAGTGCAGCCCCTGCTCTGGTCACTCAGGGAACAGAAAACTACTCATCCAGTGACCAGTATATTTGCCCTCTACCAGACTCCTGTACCCCACTGGTCTGGGTCTGTCACAATGGGCTTCTGCCAGCTCTCAAGTGCGTTTGCTCATCACGGCGCTAAGGGGTGTGCTGGTGTGGGGTGCTCTCCTCTCGCTGAAGCTGTTCCACTTTAGAACACTTGGACATTAAGCACAGGTCAGATGCTGTATCTGACGGTGCCTTCCTGGAGGGAGATGCTAATCCTGCCTCTGGAGAGACTTGCCTGAGGGCCAGTAATGGCCACTGGACAGGGGGGTTGTGACTCCGTAACCTAGGCAGGGCAGCTACCTGCTGAACCATGTCTGCCTCTGACAGCACAAGGTCTCTGTCCTTCACTTTGGCAGCACTTGTACAGCCGCTCCTGCCAATAAAGTATCGTTGAGTTGAGTAGAAATCCACCTTAAACCAGTCCCTTGGAAAGTCCTACACCAGCTGCCTTGTTTCCTATGTCCCCTTGGAGTGAAACAAGAAAACTCCTCCCCAAGGCGAAGTACCTGCCAATCTCCCCAAGGCGAAGTACCTGTCGAGGTGAAACCCGCTGGCACCAACTCCACTTCAGGAGCCTCTTCTGGGGCTTTTACTGCATGAGAGATGCTGGTTTATGGCCACTGAAGGGCCATTTCTCAGCAGAGTCCATGGGGGATGGCAGCATTATGGACTGTGATGAAGCGAGGAGCCAACTCGTTAACCATGTGCTGCCAGAGGGGAAGGCCCCAGTAACCTCCCTTGTAGGGTGACCATGTTTTCCCAAAGGGAAAACGGGCCACTGCACGGGACCGGCCCCCTCTCCCCTCCATGCGTGGGGCCGGCCTGGGCCTGAGCCCTCCCTGCTGCCCGCCCACCTGGGGCTGACCCGGCTGAGCCGCTCTCTTGAGCCCTCCCTCCCCTGTGGGGCTCCTTCTCCTAGCATACAAGTTGTCAAGCCAATGTGACTGTCTGAACTGCAGAGCGCTGTGAAAGTTTATCTCTAAGCAGCCTGTGTGGCTCATGCCCCTTTTGATGAACCAAAGGGCAAGTCTAACAACACTGGGCATGGGAAGGCTGGGGTGATACCTTCTAGGTGAACACTGCTTGTTTTCCCCCCTAGCTTTGTGCAAAAGTGATTTCTTCCCCTCCCAAGAACAAGCTGAGTTATCAGCTGTGGGCTGTAGTAACCTAACTGCAGGCTGGCTATAAACCTGCTCCCACCACCTACAGGATGAGCAGTTTTGAGGTCAGAGACAGAACACAGACATGGTCACACCAAGATGATCGGACAGTCTAGTGCAGTGGTTCCCAGCCAGGCGTACACAGAGCTACAACTCATCTAGATATTTGCCTAGTTGTACAACAGGCTACATAAAAAGCACTAGCAAACTTAGTACAAACTACAATTTCATACAGTGACTTGTTGTGACGAAGTGGGGGGGTTTCTTGTTTTCTGTGGAGTTTCAATGGTTTGCATGCGGAGGGGGTGGGACTCAGTTTCCCTGGGTGTTACTGGTTTAACGAGGTGAGGGGAGAGGGAGTGTGTTTTGCAGAGGACCGGAGAGAGAACTTGGGGCCCCAGCCGATGGCCGGGAGGATGGATACCCCAGCGACCGGTGACCTGGCGACCCGGAGGCCCAGCTGAGGAGACGCAGCTGGTTCTGGCCAGTGGGCGGACAATGGGCTGCAGAGTGAGGACCCAGTGACCTAACCAGCCGGTTCCAGCCAGAGGACAGAAGAGGGGAGAGGAGGCCCCGGTTTACAACCCTGTTTACCTGGAGAGAAGACAATGGACAGAGGCGGGGCTTGGGGACGGGGAGCTCAGAGGCCCAGCTGGGAAGCAAGGGGGCTCTGGGCAGGAGAGGGGGAGCAGGCAGAGCCCACCTGGATGCAGAGAGACTGGGATGTGCTGGGCTGAAGGAGGCCAGGCCTGAGGCCCTGAGAGTTTCCTGTGCTGTGTTCAACTCTCACTAAACCCTCCTGTTTTATGCTGGCTGAGAGTCACTCCGGTCTAGAGAACAGGGTTGCATCAACCCCTTCGGGGGTGGAGGCCCCAGGGGTCCAGAGCGAGTGGACTCCCTGAGGGGGCCCACGGCAGAGACAGACGTGCTAAGGCTCAGAGAGGTGCGGCTCCAGGAGGTGGAGGGGCCTGACTCCGAGAGAGAGTGGACCCCCCGAGAAGGGCTGTCTCACTAAAAGGGGCACCCCCCCGCGGACCGCATGGGGCCAAGAGTGGGCACGATCTGTGAGTCCGTGACACTTGTTTATACTGCTCTATAGACTGAAATGTCAGTGCAATAGTATTATTCCAATTGATTTATTTTATAATGATATGGGAAAAAGGAGAAATTCAGCCATTTGTCAGTTACTGTGTACAGCCGAGTACTTTGTTCTTCACACGCTATGTTCATACAAGACATTCTACAGCCCTTCTACTGAGCTCCCTGAGTGGTATGTAAGAGGTTTACATGTATTACCATTGTATTCAGAAAGAAGATCATTACCATTGTAATGTGTGTGCTTTAGACTTGTCTCCCTGGCTGAGCAGAGAACATCAAAAATAGGCTTTATAAATGAGGGGCTGGGGTCTCATCTGCATAACTTCATACAAATAGCAGCTAGACAAACTTCTCGAATCAGTCCATTCCGCACAGAGAGACAAATATTCTGATGTATTACAAGGTACAAACACGCTCCTGCTGTTCTGTGACTATAGAATTTTGCTTTAACCAAAGGCAAAAACATACAGGGAAATGCACAAACTATCAGCTGAGGTGAAACATTTCCCGAACTCTCCAGAACAGCACTACTTTGAGGACACACTTGCATTATCAATGGTATTTAGAAGCTTTCTGCCAACTGTGGGCACAATTAGACTCTGTTTCGACGCGGTATGGCCCTTTGGGTGCCGTGATGTTTTCGCAGATTGGATGCCCAGTAACATTTCAACATTACTACATGATACAGAAAAACTGCCACCAGCCACATCCCCCTTGGTATGTGCCCAATGTGGTGGCAATAGCATTTCTCTAGCTGATGGGTGCCCAAAATGGGTCTGGGCGGGTAGACTAACAGCTGAAGGGGTGGGCACAAGTCACCCCATCAGAGCAGCTCAGTGCCCGGGTCTGACAGGGACGTCGTGTTAGCAGGGTGGCTGGGGCTGCAGCATTTTGAGCTTTTGTTGATACAAATGTACATTTCTTCTTGTGTGGGATGCAAAGAAAACCTGCCAGCACAGTGCCCCAAGCAGCACAGCCACCACCTGCCTGCAACCACCCCGCTCACTCGCTGAGAGTGGGGAGCACTCCCCCAGTCAGCTCAGTGGGCGTTGACTCTGGTCCCTACTGAGGACAGTCTGAGGCAGGTAACACTAACTATTGCATTGCTGATCATCCCCTGGCAAGGAAGACAGAGCGCTCACTGTCAAGACCTCTCCTCAACTACCTCTGCCCCCTTGCTCCACAAGGCAGAGGAAAGCACTAGTCCCCCTTCCCCCACCCCCAGCCCCACTGGAGTGCATGTACCTCAGGGAAGGTGCTGCCCAGCAGAGATCTGGCCTGGGCTTTGCAGTTACTGATTAGGGATGTCAGCCCCTCCCTCTGGCTCAGAATTTGCCTGAAGCTGCAGGAGAAAGTTCAGCCTGTTCCCAAATGCACAGGAGTTCGACTGAGCTGGCTTCTTCGGAGCTCTGCCAGCAAACCTGGCCTGGCCTCACCCCGCCATGCTGCTGCCCCTGCTGCCTAGTCCAGCCCCTTTGGCCTGTGGTGGCTGCTCTGTAATGCCAGGACCAGCTTCTCCAAGCCACAGCTCTCCGCTGCCTGCACGTCCCTGCCCACGGCCTAATGCCCCATCTGCTCGAGGGGCCAGAAACCTATCAGGCCCTGGAGCCGCCTGCCCTTGGGCACCGGGCAGCCAGGGGGCTGAGCATGGAGCTAAGGGAAGGGAAGTGGCAGACAACTCAGCTGCGCTGTGCCCTGGGCTGTGTGCGGGCCGTGCACCGGGCCAGGCCAGGCTGTGCTCTGGCTGCTGCTCCCCCGCTGCTGGGCTGGGCTGTTTTCTCTTGGAAACCAGCGGTATAGATAGGCCA